CTTACCAATTACAAACTTGTCTAGACTCGAGTACAAAACATGTTCCAGTTATATTGACTATTGGAATTACTGCTTTGAGCAAAGAACACAACCTTAAATTGTACAATAAACGAACTAATTGGAACTCATATCGAGAACTGGTCCATGACAGACTAGACCTAAAAGTTGCCTTAAAAAGTGAAGCAGACATTGATCACGCAACTCGGTTACTAACCGAAGTGATCCAAGAAAGCTGCTGGATGTCCACGCTCGAACTCACTGCTCGTCCGCCACAGAGTAAGACCTACTCGGACACCATACGACAAAAAATATTAGAAAAACGAAGGCTACGTCGAATATGGCACACTAGTAGACTGACATATGACAAAACGGCGCTTAATAAAGCGATACGCGATTTAAAATCCCTAATATCCGAAGCTAACGAAGCAGCCTTGAGTAAACACCTGGAAGGATTGACATCAACAAAAGCAACCGATTACTCGCTTTGGAGAGCCTGCAAAAACCTAGCTCGACCACTACACCAAAAGCCACCACTACGAACGCAGAACGGGCAGTGGATAAGAACGGAACAAGAAAAAGCTGAAGTTTTTGCTAATCATCTTAGTCATGTATTCAAACCGAATGACCCCAGTCCTAATGTAGATGAATCGGATATCGAACTAATCATTGACCAAGACCTGCAACTTGATCTACCATTAAAACTAGTGACACCACGGGAAATTAATCGCAACATCAAATCAATGGACAATAATAAAGCACCGGGCTATGACTTAATAGACAAAAAGGTCCTCGAAGAATCACCACGCAAAGTGATAGTGTACCTTACAATGCTATTTAATGCAATCCTAAGAGCTGGGTATTACCCAGACTTATGGAAGGTATCACAAGTGACTATGATCCACAAACCTGGAAAACCTATTCACGAAATCACATCATATAGACCCATTAGTCTGCTGCCTATTATGTCCAAATTATTTGAGAAAACCCTACTACACAGAATGCTGGACATAATAAAAGAAAAGCATATCATACCAGATCATCAGTTTGGCTTTAGGCAAGAACATGCCACAATAGAACAAGTCCACAGAGTATGTAGAAAAATAAGAAACTCCCTCGAGAGGAGAGAATACTGCTCATCTGTATTTCTTGACGTACAACAAGCCTTTGACAAAGTGTGGCATAAGGGTCTTTTGTTTAAAATTAAATCCTTATTGCCACACACATTCTATAGGATCCTACAATCATACTTGTCTAACAGAATATTTCAAGTTAAAGAAGGTGCCAGCACATCCGGTTTTTACGAAATTTGCGCAGGTGTGCCACAGGGCTCAATCCTCGGACCCGTCCTGTACACACTGTATACACACGACCTACCACAGAGCCCAGAGATTACTATCGCCACCTTCGCTGATGACACGGCTCTACTTACCTCCAACAGAAGTCCCATTCTGGCCTCTAAAATCTTACAAAATGGCTTAAATAAAGTAGAAGGCTGGTTGGCCAAATGGAGAATTGCAGTTAGTGTGTCCAAATCGGTGCACGTCACCTTCACGCTCCGAAAGGAAGACTGCCCCCCGTCACTCTAAATGGCACCCAATTACCACATCAAAATACAGTCAAATATTTAGGAATGCATTTAGACCGCAGACTCACCTGGAAAAAACATATTCAAACAAAGCGAGACGAAATTAATCACAAATACAAGGGTCTCTACTGGCTAATGGGACGAAATTCAAAACTATCCACTGACAATAAGTTGCTTTTGTACAAAACCATTCTCAAACCCATATGGACATACGGAATACAGCTTTGGGGATCTGCTAGTGCCTCAAATATAATAATAATACAAAGAGCTCAAAATTACATACTCAAGCAAATATCAAACACCCCATGGTTTCTCAAAACTACAGAAGTCCATGAATTTCTTAATATGCCCATGGTAAAAGAGGAAATAATCACACATGGGTATAACTACAAACTAAGACTTCAAAAGCACCCAAATCAGCTAGCAGGACAGCTAACTATACCAGAAACTACTCGACGACTAAAAAAGCGGCGAGACATTTTTGACCAGGACAACCCAACAGACTGAGTTTAAATAAGAATAGGCAGGCTCCGCTGGGAGTAGCACCTAACACGTCAATAAGCTCTCAACGTATCTACTTATAGTCGCAAAGACTGATTGTATGATTAATAATAAAAAAAAAAATTAAAAAAATAAGTATGCAAACTTTTTATATTAAATTATATAAATATGGAGTGACTGGCCCTTAGGCCTACAAAACACTAGCGGCTGGCCGCAATGCGGTGTGCCGCTGCGGCGGGCCGCGGTATATACGGTCCGCCGTAGCGGCCTGCCGTATTCCGGCTAACCGTCCCTATTGCGGTCCTATTGCGGTCTGCCGCAATCGTCACTCGTCAGTGCTTCTTGAAATATTACAAATTCAAATTTAATGACGTGGAATAAGTGATACATGTATCTTATGTTCCATAATAAACATATTTTATTTTTTACTCTTTTAAAATAGGTTTACAATACTTTGTTTACATTTGTTAAATAATTATATGTGATGACGAAGGTAGGACGGCTAACCACGCCGAGTGCGTGGAGGGGACGCGGCGCGCCGCATCATTCAACCGGTGCGGCTCGCCGGAGCTCCAGATCAACCGGAGCGGTTGATGGTTGACCGCAAGTCAGTGCGTTGTTATCGTGCGGTTTCATATAATAATCGATGTGCGGCCCGCCGCAGCGGCACACCGCATTGCGGCCAGCCGCTAGTGCGTTGTAGGTCTTAATCTTAAAAAAGGCAATATTTAAAAATAGAACTGCAGTAAAACCGGCCGCTGACCTGCTGACCGGCTGAACTGAGTAAAACTGCAGTTATATAGCCGGGAAAAGAAAATTTACTCGTAGTATCAGATTTGCGTGTTTTTTAAAATTGATTCTTATTGATTTTTTATTCTTTTGACAATTGAATTATTGTTACCAGCATTATTGTTGGGTTAGCTCTTTAACTGAACCATAATATGGATACTTCGTCCGAACAAGCTGCTCAAATTGTAGCATTGGTGCGGGAGGGCTTGGATCAACGAACGATTGGTAGAAATTTAAATTTAAACCAGTCTACGGTTTTTAGAATATACAGAAAGTTTGTGGAGACAGGTTCTTACAAAAGGAGACGTGGTACAGGCAGAACTCGAGCAACCACCGGTCGTGATGACCGATTTATTGTTACAACTTACCTGCGAAATCATTTCCTCACGTCAGTTAACATCAAAACAGAGCTTAATGAAGTGCGTGGAGGAAACGTTAGTGCACGAACAATAAGAAGAAGGTTAAAGGAAGCGGCTATCACCCCTTTTAGACCAGCAAATGGTCCAAAGTTGTCTGTAGCTCACAGACAAGCTCGCTTAAGATTTGCGCGCGATCTCCTAAATTGGACAGATGAGCAATGGGCCTCCGTATGTTTCACAGATGACGATATTATATCATCAATCAAAACTCAAAATGAACACTTAATATAAAACACTTAAATAAAGAGGACATGAGGGCTACAGTGAAGTATCGTAAAACAGCTAGGAACTCGCATACGAATCATATAATTGTACAAGTTTGTCCTCCATTATGGGGGATACTAACAACTGAAGGTAAAATGTACATCGACCTCCAAAGGGTTAAAGTTATGGATCAATCACCCCTCATACTGTGCTCGAAGTGCCTAGGAAAGGTAGGCGATTATGTACAGCGGAAGAAGAAAACACACTGTAGTGGGCTCATAAAAAGATCGATTGCCCGGAATATATGGCTGGGGGGATCCCATCCTGCATTAACTGTAAACGTGCGAACCTGGATAATACAGATCATAACAGCTTTGACTCTGAGTGCCCTACGAGGAAAAGATGGGAATTATTGGCAAGGGCCTCAGTAGCATATTGCTAAAGTTGCCTTAGTTAACCCAACAGATAAAAACTCGAAGTCATATTTAATAATTCAAGCAAACCCACAGAAGAAGAACTTGGCCACTAACGAAATTATAATTGAATCACAGAAGAAAGGTATAGCAATTGCGTTACTACAGGAACCATACATCGGCGCCAGAGGTAGGCAGTATAGGGGGCCTAGAGTCTACCAAAGCACCGCAAAAAATGAGGGGGTTGTAAAAGCTCCGATAGCAGTGTTTAACCACGACTTAAAAGTTGAACAGTACCCCGAACTGACCACAAATAATATTTTGATGGTAAAAATTTACACAGGTGCGTGGGAGATGGTAGCCGTCTCTTACTACTTTGAACCTTACCCTAAACCCTTGGTACCATATCTAGACCAACTAGTTAAAAATCAAAGGCAAATTTAAACGCAACTTAATTTTTGGAGGAGATGCAAACGCAAAAAGCGTCTGGTGGGGCAGCTCAGTAGTTGATGAAAGGGGAGAAGATATGGCTGCAACACTGGAGGAATTAGATATGCAAATTTTAAATTAGGCCTAATCACTACATACGCTTTGACCAACCGAAATAACTTGCGAAAGAAAAAAGATTCTTCCCAAGATTGGTATGCGAAGCCATTGAAATCAAAAAAAACACCCCAATTTCAATAGAGAAGACGGCCTAAAATTTTCAAACACCTGGGATCCAATAATATCAAAATTAAAATCTCAAGATAAGCAATCCGCGAAAATAGAGGACACCTTGAGCCATTTCTGCCAAAACCCTCCATCTTTTAGTCGATACCAACTCCGGGGAAATAAATACAGATAACACAACTTTTTCTACAGCTGTGACACTTTTTGACATTCAACACCTTTTGTCTTCAGTCACCGTGACCACGGACGCTGTAAAGCACGCGAAACGTCGGTTAAATTTAAAATTATGTAAAATAATTATAAATTTATAATAATACATAGCTTCAATCCGGTAAAAAAGTATTTTCTTTAAATGTGTAAAGGTTATGTCAATAAAAGACATTACTAAATATTGGTATTATTTATTCTCAGGAGAAAATGTATGAAGAGTTAATTGAGGCGAAGAAAAGTCAAAACGGTTCCTTGGACCTTACTATACAAGCTGATTTAAAGTATTTAAACTGTGTTATTAAAGGTATTAACAATTGCATGTTGTTCCCGCGAGAATGTAAGTGCGTGCTCCCATTTCACCATGCCTCCTGCTGATAGAGGACAAATCTTTGTTTTTAATTTATTTTATTATTATTAATCAACTATTAATTACTTAAGATGTCATGTAGAACATGGTGTAATGGTTGCAGCTCCTTACAAACATCGTGTAAAAACAAAACCTTGGCGATTAAAACGAGTGGCGGAAAGTTTATTGCCAGTTCTTCTTTTCCGTTCTACGCCCTTGATTTGAGACCTGAAAGTTAATGTAAAATTAGAATCATTTAAAATATATTAATTTTTATACGTTCATAAGTGTACCTATATGAATAAATGATTATGATTTGATTAAAAAAACTGTTATAATTAAAGTCATTAAAAATTCTAAATACACTTCCTCTACGTTTCCATTATGTCAATTTCTGGGTTGAAAATGTCCGTTTTTGAAGTGGGAAATTCACGCCCGGCTTAAATAATAACGACATCTTCTTACTTAAATTCCAGAAGCGTTACGCATGTATCCTCCCCTGGGATGGCTTGACAGAGAGACATTAAATGACTATAAGGTAGACGAGAACCTGACTATACCCGCGGGAACACCGATTTATGTCAACGGAATTGGAATGCAGTACGACAGCGACATTTATCCGGACCCTGAGACCTTTAACCCCGAAAGGTTTTTGCCCGAGAATGAGAAAGACCTGAAGCCATTCACTTTTATGCCATTTGGAGAGGGACCAAGGAGCTGTATAGGTGAGTCGTTGATAGGATAGGTTCTACTAAATGATGTAATATTAATTTCTATTAAAACACTATACATTTATTTCTTATTAAGTACGAGCAAAGCGCATCAGTGCAAATTCAGTAAAACACACGATAAAATAGATTATCTAATCAAATTTATATTTCAGCCAAGAGGTTCGCTCAGATATCATTGAGAAACGCTATGTCATACTTAGTACTAAATTTCAAGTTTAAATCACTGCCGGGAGCACCGAAGCCTTCAGAAGTGAAGTACGAAAATAAACATCTCTTTTTAGTACCTGGAGAGAGCCTTTTTATCGATTTTGAACCAAGAAATGTATCTTCCGGTTTATAAATATATTATATACAAACATATTTGTACGGCTTATTTATTATTCTAATAAAAATAAAGTCCATGTGGACCTTAAACCCCGAGGATCGTACCTTCGAATCCTGGGTGGGCCATGTAATTTTCTATCTATGTGTGCCATTCATATTTGGTCGTATCGTTTAGGAAAATATATCTACTTTAAATTTCCATGTTAATTAGTATGCCTTTGAGATACATACCTCACTGTTATGAAACAGAATACAGAAAAGGCTTTTAGCATAATAACGAACGAATAACACTCGGTAGCTCCTTTCATCCTCACCTATATTTCTAAATTTATACAGCTAATATACGGCAAAATTTCTTCAAATACCAAGAAATGCTTACTTTCAACAACGATTCATATTAATATTTTTACTTCTACTGTATTGTATGCTAATTTTTCGTAACTCAGGAGCTCGACAACAGACTACCAGAGTCCTTATTAACGGATCATATTACCTTCCCAGGCACATTTGACCTTGACAGCTGATAGCTGCGTAAAGTCAGTATTTTAAACTCAAATCTGACGGCTCTGCAAGCTGCCTGCATTTTTCTGGTCGTTTTACAAAGGCAATATTGCAATATTATTATGTGTCTAATATAACATATATGATATTATTATATATCTATATATATTGTTTGCTTAGTTGTAATTGTAATCATTATTTTACTTTGAAATAATGTCTGGTATAGTAATTTCAGTTATAATATTATATTTATTTCTGATGAGTGACATTTTGCCTGAGTAATTTTCGATAGTTATCAAACTACATTTGACATCTTTAGCATAATCACGAAATTTATGACAAAGAATTAGTGATACTTTTGCATAAATAAAAAACTAAAGAAATTGGGTTTCAAAATCTTTCTCTTAAGAAAATCGAATAAAGTTGTCAAAAATCAGACTTAAATTTTCACGTTTGACGAGAATATTTTTTGTTCATACACTTTTTTAAATCAATTACCTAAAACCATCAATAACATTTGTACAGGCACACAGCATACTTATTGTGCGCTTCCTCCAACTTAAAGAAAGCATACTCGACCAATCCATCCACTGGCCGTCCCGAAGGTACCAGTAGCTAAGGTCGAGAGGTAGTATATATCCTTAGCGGCCGGAATCACTACGTTAGCGCGTTTCAGGCTATGATCACCGTGATTGTAGCTGTAGAATGTAGGTGTCGTTACTACTACCTCCGTACTTCCCCACTTTCCCCGAAGACCGGGGGGGGTCACCAATTACAACCTCAAACCACGGTGTCAAACCGAATGTCACGTAGTTTGTGGTGGGTCGGAACTGTGTGCGATGCAACTGTATGCATCGGAATGATGCAATCTGCTGCGGCGGCTGAGGTTGTTAAGCAGACATACGCGCGTGCTGCATTGCAGTGCACAGGATTACTGAAGCCGAAGGTGCTGACTGGCTGTTGATTGATGCTGAACGTGGTGATGTCTTGACGTGTCGCTACACATTTTTCTATCTCCGATATTAACTAATTAAATCACTAAATACTATCGACAATGTCTATATAATTATGTCGCACATCCGAAGACTCATAACAGCGCAGATGCATCTTTAGACTCGACTAAGTGGTATTTATCGGGAACTGATAAAATAATTGCGATTTTTTAATTGTGATGGTTGTGTGTCTTATTACTTTCGGTTGGTATACTTTTTGGAAGAGACGCGGGAAGCCTTATCTCAATCCCTATTCATAAATTTTTATAGGTTTCTATATATAGTATTAATGATGTTGGAATTGTATGTAAACAAATAGTTTTGCAAGCATGTTGTTCTTCTCGCCCGCTCTACGCCCTTGACTTATAAACTGGTAGTAAATGTAAATCTAGAATCTATTTAACATATTTTCTGTTGACGTTCAAAAGTGTACTTGGTTACCTATATAAACAAAGTATTTTTGTGTTTAAGTTTGAAACGAGTTTCTAGTGGCATTGAAATTAACGTGCACAAAACGACGACATTTTTGTGTGTTATTTTGAACTAGTCCCTATCTTACGATGTTATAAAATCTAAAATATATGTTAAAGTTATTGTTTCTCCTTCATGCAAGAGTTAAAATATAATATTTTAGATATGTATCGTTCTAAAACTTTACGCCCTATAAAAAACTTAGCCCATAAACTAGTTTGAAATAACGTTATCAACCGCCAATTATATGAAAATAATTTAATGTTTGATCAAAGAATGTTTATTTTGATAAACCTTTAAAGGCAACATACATGAATACGCCAAAACATTAATTTTATGTTTAAAGAAGTTTATTTTATCATACAAAAAAAATGTATTTTATATACATGAGAAACTTAATATATATACGAACGAGATACACGTCGCCATCAGCCGTCCTAATTTTAGTCTACTAGGCTCATTCTGATAAGCATCTTTAATGCACTTTTGAATTGGGTAAACGCGCTATTATTACGAATTTTAGACGGTAATTAATTAAATAATTGCACACCCTCATACTTAATAGACTTCTTTAAATAATTTGTTCGCGGCTTCGGCAAGATAGAGTTTTACATAATTAATTGTTATTACGGGCTGGCGCGCCTCAGTGCTCCAGCTCTTCACTGCGCCCCGCAGTCTACCCCGAGACACTGACAGCAATTCGTACTGTGATTCATAAGATAAAATTGCCTTTTTTTTATATTTTTCGGCCCCGGTGGAATACAAGACCTCATCATCGTCAAGCAAACTGCTCTACTAAAACTCTATTCCAATAGAAATCATCTTCATTATCAATCCATCACCGATGGTCCAACTAATATGTTATCCTATCATTTGGATTTTCTTTGAGCCTATTTTATCGGAAAATGCCAGTGCACATAACATAATTGCTAAGGATATTTAGTGCGTCATGAAAAGTTTTCACTTTTCCATTCTCATGTACACTATTTGTACGATAAAACAAATTGCAATTAATGTTACATCGCGTTCATATACTCAAAAATTATTAAAGACAACTTTTCATTTGGCAGCGTAACGTTGGCATGGCATTGTTTACTACAGGAAACATAGTTTCAGGTTCCTTATTTAGTATACACTTCAAATAATTAATATTAACTATTATATTATACCAATTTAACATTTTTTGTTTTGTTTTTGGCGAGGTGGCAAGAATTCAAAAGTGCCAGTATAAAGTTCATTTTAAAAATACTAATTTTAGTTTCTGTTCACGAATTTTACAACAGATATATTTGCAACGGCTGCATTTGGAATTAAGGCAAACGCAACTTTCACTGGAGAGGGTCCTATGAGGACCGTTACCACTGCGTTCATGAAGTTTGATATGTCAAAAGTCAAAAAACTTTGTAAAATTTACACATTTTGTCAATGGACGCTTATGAACGCATGTGTACAGAGGACTCAATTGGATCAGCATTTCTTCTTCCCTAAGCTTGTTGACATTTACAGGTAAAAGCTTTGCCGCTCTAAGACTACCTAACGTCTCATATTTTTGGGTAGTATGTAAATGAATTTCATCATCGAACGTCGAGGCAGAATAAGAAATTCCTGACGACTGAGCGTTTCTTAACGCAGTTTTTACTGAAGTATTTTCGAACCAATTCTTAAAAGGCCGGAAACACACTCGCAAGCCCTCTGGCATTGAGAGTGTCCATGAGAGGCGGACTCACTTAAAATCAGGTACGCCTCCTGCCCGATTGCCTCGTGTTATATTAAAAAAAACTGATTTTGTTAAATAGTCTAAAGCAAAACTCAACTCTCCAAGATCGTTCGAACTGTTTCTATGTGCGCAATTAACACTTTTGGTAGGTCTTATGAAAGGAATATGAACATGCAATTAAAACCTTCTCGCTTATAAAAATTATGAGAAATCTGATTCTAAGACACAATCAGTGTTGCGACGTTTTGATAAGTAACACTTTTGTGTAAAAGATTTTCTAAAAGTAATTTGACTTTTATTAGCTCTTTTTGAAGTGAAACTTCTTTAGGCGAATGAGGGTTAAATTTTTACGGAACGTCACGAAGATGTGTAGGGTTTTTGTCGAAGAAAAGGGAGAGAGCGATTGAGACCTTTTAGAAATTCTACGAGTATTTTTTAAATTAAAATTTCGTAAAGAGAATTTATGAAATATTAGCATTTTATATTTATACAAAATAATTTATTGAAATCTCAAATGACGAATTATAAATTAAAATGTCACGTGTTTTTAGGATCGAAGAAAATTTTTAGTAAATTAATTTTTTTTTTTATTAATTTTCGTCACTTTTAATATTTTATTGACAATTAAATTCCTAACATATCTTACTTTTTCCCTCCCTCGAAGTCTCGGCAATCTAAAGTTTTAGATTTGTATAAATATGAACAAGAGTTAAAAATTAGTTTGCCAAAGAAGTTTCACTTCTGACATATGTACTTTGTACGCACGCACTTTTTTTTATTTGTGCGGCTTGCCTTATTTGTGCATACTTTTCTGACTCTCCACCAAATTATTTAAATATTATTTATTTAGTTTTGAGTTTTAATTACTTTATATTATTCGAATAATAAGTAATAAAAAAGTGTAAGAAAATGTTTATTAAGAATCATTGTCTGACGAATATTGCTTTAAGAATTGCTTCTTACAATGGGTAATTAAATATTCTTGTTTTCAAAATTGGCTTCGGACTTTACTCGAACGTTTAATATCCATCTCACAACAAAAATTTAGCAAACAAAATTCTAAATCTAAAGAATTTTTGGACGTGTTTCTGATGATAAAGGAAGAAGGTGCCAATAACACTGAAGGTTAACTAACCGCCAGTTCTATTTGAGTTTGAGTACTGTTTATTTAATAGCGGAAGAAAAGAAGATTTCTATAGGCAATAGCCGTAATATTATAGACAACAATTTGGCTATGAAAAAAATGTCAGCGTGCTGGGTGCCTAGATGGCTTTCTGACGCGCAGAAATAGACGAGACTGAGAATTTCACCAAATTTGTTAAAACAAGATTTCAACCGATTTTAGATCGAAATGTTTTCATAGTTATTCATTTCACCATTTTGACCATGAATCTAAAAAAAAGTGCTCCAACTCCGAAGAAATTTTAGGCGCCTCTGTGCGTCGGTAAGATCATGCTGATTTTTCTGGGAAAGCCAAGGAGTGGTAATGATCAAATCGATCGTCGACCTTAACCATAGATGCAGTATTAAGGAAACTTTGTACGCAGACAAATAACAAAGTTGCCTGAGGAAATACGCAAGCTATGGCAAACATGCTAAACTTATTTTGTTGCACCAACATAACGCCCCGTGTCAGTCCAGAGTTGCGATGTCTGGCATTTAAATTGATGGATCATCCTCCTTATTCACCGGACCTTCTAGGCCGCGGTTAAATAAATATCTTAGGAGCCATATATTTTAAAGAAGATGCAGTAGGTGCCGGTACACGATTTTTAAGGCATCAGGAAGATGATGGAAAGAAATATACTTACAACTAAATCTCAGATACTTCAAAGTTTTATAACTAAACATTTTTTTGTGTTATTTCCTACAGACTATAGGATGGTCCTACGCTTTTACCCCCGTCCGTTCGGTCGTAGCATGATGTTATACAGCCTTCGATAAAGGGATTATCTAACACTTAAATAATTCGCACTATAGAGTAGTATGAAATATTATACACAAATATTTTATAAAAATTGCTTTATTTGGATTTTTTAAGATCAGTGTTGGCCTAGTGGATTCAGTGTGAGTCTCTCATATCTGAGGTCGGAGGTTCGAACCCAGGCCATTTAGTATACACTAATGGACTTTCTATGTATAAATGCGCATTTAACACTCGCTCGGTGAAGGCAAATATTGTGAGAAAACCGGCCATTAACACAAAAAGCCCACGGCGTGTGTCAGAATCAGAAGGCGGATCACGTGCGTCCCTATCCTAAAAGCGAAACAGATTACACAAATCTGAGGCCCAGACCTAAAAAGTTGTAGCGCTACTGTTTTTTTTAATTGTATTTTAACTACATAAATACTACATGCTGTTTGCGTCTAATCTTTAACCTCTTAGTGATAGAATTAGTACAGCGACCAACCCCGGCTTCGCACGGACTCAATGCTGATACTAAATATGTACACTACAGAACAATTGTGAACGTTGTATATAAAAACATAGCCGCCCGCGCCGGCTTCACACGGGTATAAAATATATATAGCCTATGTCACTTACTGAAGAAATGATTAAAATCGATCCAGTAGTTTTGATTTATTCATTACTGCCCGTGGCCAGCACGCGTTATATTTGGATATTTTGATAAATCTCGTAGGGTTCAGCCTACGTTTGCAATGTAAGCGGAAAAAAATAATTATTTACGACATCACATTAGAAACCTTAAAAATAACAATATTTCTCCACTATTTAATGGATGTTATTATACATATCAACCTTCCTCTTCAATCACTCTATCTATAAAAAAACCGCATCAAAATCCGTTGCGTAGTTTAAAAGATTTAAGCATACATAGGGATATAGGGACAGAGAAAGCGACTTTGTTTTATACTATGTAGTGATTTGTTCGATCTTAGGATTTGGTTGCACCGCCACTCCAATAACGTCAAATACACGGAAATCGCTGTCCGTCCCTGTATTTTTATTATCCATCCTCAACATATTATAGTGTTCCTAAATAAACAAAATCAAAAATAAGTATTTTTAATTTCAAGAAAACATGACGAAGAACCTGACCCTGCGAACTTTATACCGTCAATAAACGTTGTTTACATACGTATATTTACGTTACATTTTATTAGCTGAGCTTAATATTATTATATATATATATATATATATAACAAACCTCCAAACGGACAAGAGGTTCACCTGATGTTAAGTAATAGCGCCGTCCATGGACACACACGTTGCCAGAGGGCAAGCAAGGGCGTTGCCGGCCTTTTAAGCCGACCTTTCGTGAAAGCTGTTTCATACGAAGACCAGACGTGCAGCAAAAAGACAGCATGCAACGCCAAATTTTAGTCAGAGATTGCTTAAGCCACGGACTAGTCGTTATTAATTTCACATCAAAAATATAAACCGGAATATATGCAGATTTGTTTCTGTAATACTTTTGTAACAGGCAAGTAAGCACTTTCTTCACTTACAACCTTTTCGTTTTCTCATGAACCCTATAGTTTTATATATCTACAAATGTGCAAAAGTGTTAAATTTGTCTTTAATTTTCACACAGCTTAAATAACTAATGTAAATTGTTTTGAAAGCCTACGGTTCCAAGTTTGAAGTGAAATGTCTGTTTGAAATAAAAACGTGTTGGTTATAAATACGCTAAAGTCGGTACTTCATATACTATAAAGGTTAATCGTTTGTTTTTCTTATTCGTTTATTATATATATGAGTTACAAAGATTTTGTTAAACAAAAATCTGGACGATTTAAACAGTGACTGAGAGGTTAGTGTTCTCTTCTCGATAGTTCTATGCCCTTGATTTATGAAGTGCCGGTAAATGTAAATTTAGGAGATGTTGTTTTCTACTGACGTTCATAAATGGAGTATTGGATTTATGTGACATTAATTTAGGCTCATAAGTAGTGTTTTGCTACTTGAATAATCGTCGGGGACATATTCTTCGTTTACAATGTTTTTGCAAGACGACTTTATTATATCTTTGGCAAGGCGCATGTTCAACTGGTTTTCACGGTCCTAAACAACTGGTAGCTTGCACGTGGCAAAGGGAATGTTGGAAGATTTTGTTTTGAATCCTTTCGATTTAATCAGTAGAATTAAATAGGTATGAAAATTTCAGATATAACATAAATCACATATTATTTGTACATTATGTTTGGAATTATCGTGTGTGGTGTTACGGTTTCCTTAATATCATGGATATACCTTCGTTGGAGAAATGTTAGAGAGTATTGGGCAAGGCGTGGTGTGCCTCACTCACCACCTCATCCCCTGATGGGCAGTCTTACATTCTTGCAGCAAAAGAATCCGGTGAGTAATTTTTGTCTTTTTCATGCTTTAAGTCATTTACATAATGTAAATCTTGTTTTTATAAATAAAAATGTTTTTTATGTTGAACCGAGAACATGATATTAACAATATTCCTTTCGTTTTTGTTATTTACACCATTTATAATTAGCTGTATGAATAGATTTTACTTAAAATCACTATAGCTGAACTACAAAAGATGGAATAACATTGACGAAGAAAAGTAATAGAAAATATTACAGTTTAATATCATTTAAAACTATTAATTATGACCATAATAAAAAATTTCAAGACTGAGGTTCTTTATATATTATTTCCAGGCCCTATGGATGATTGATATATATAAACAATTTAAGAAACCATACGTAGGAATATGGTTATTCTGGAGACCAGCTCTAATAATTAATTCCCCAGAAATAGGAAGAAATATACTCGTCAAGGACTTCGACAATTTCAGGAACAGATTCATAAAACCGGGTTCTTTCGATCCTTTTAAAAATAGTTTGTTTACTGCAAATGTACGTATTAACCATTTAAATTATTCGACTAAATTAAACAAAAACTATTCAAAAATACACTCAATAAATAACTCTGATCTCAATAACTGCTTTTGTTGAGTTTAAGAACTGTGAACTTATATTATAAGAAGAAAATAAAATATTTGTAATTAATTAACTATTAAATTACTTGATCGAATTAAGTTCGATGGCGGTTTTTGTATGGAGATGTTCAAATAAAACTCTTTGTTTGAACCTGGGTAGCAACTGACTTTAATGTTTTAAAATATGAGCTTATAACTAACACAAAATAAGGGATATAAGGGTTGCGACGCTAACAAAAACAAACATAGCCTTTCTAAGGGTTGATAAATCTAAATGGCACTTATGTTATTGGACATTATCGGAAACGAGAATATTAAAAAAACTTTAAAGTGTGTTAAAAACTAAAGGGCTCAATATTGGCTTCAAGTGTGATTGTGTGACGATGATTGTTTACATTTGGTTTACGCTTCTAATTATTACCTAATATATTAATATGTAACTTAACTAAAGTAAGGTTACGTAATTATCGATTCAAACTGTTTTCAACATTGGAATGCTAAATTTTCTATCAGAATCTCTTACTATATTATCAGGATTCTGTCAATCAGGGGTCGGATTGCTGTCAAACGTCTGAACGTTAAATAGGATGCATTGGGTATCCAATTTATTTAACATTTGCTATGTTTTGTATATGTATTTCGAGAAAATAATCAATTTCTATATTTTTAAAGGATCCCAAGTGGTCATCAATACGTCGTGGTTTGACATCGGTATTTACGTCTTCAAAGCTGAAGGCAATGCAAGGCCTCTTCGACCAAAAAGCAAATGATTTAATACAAAGAATAAAAAGCACTAAAGATACAAGCAAACTGGAAATAAGGGTGTGTACCTTGCTCTTATTAGTATTAAGCCTAAAAAGAACTTATTTTAAAGTAAGTTTAAGCACTGTAATGTATGTTCATTACACTAAACTAGTTTCACTAGTCCTAGAGCTGTTGTAGGGCATGCAATTGTAGCTAAACATCACTATGCTCTCTACCGCATTTACCATGGAGAGTGTTCACAGGAGTTGTTCGGATTAATACCTGCAGCTAAGTTTCATCATCGGACGTCGAGGCAGAATACGTGATTCCCCCCGAAATTACTTCGAAGTCCGCCGTTCCACAACTGAGAGTTTTTCATGGCAGTTTTTGCCGCGCACCACCTCTACGTGGAACCAGCTGCCCACTGAAGTATTTCCGAACCAATTTGACTTAGCGTCCTTCAAGAAAAGAGCGTACCAATTCTTAAAAGGCCGACAACGCACTCGCGAGCCCCCTGGCATTGAGAGTCTCCATGGGCGACGGTATCACTTAACATCAGATGAGTCTCCTGCCCGTTTGCCCCTTTTCCATAAAAAATGTTTTAATAGATTATAACTAAGTTTAAGTTAAATAAAACTTATAAACTAACGATGATGAACATCGGATTTTGAGGCAGAACACAAAATTCCACTCGCATATGTAGTGCATGTGTCAGCACGCTGCCCTAGGTAACGAAATATTTAAGAGGGTGAGAACTAAGAACTTGAATACCATGTATACCTATTCATACAAATAAGATTATTCTTGTAAGCTATCGATGTAAAAATAGAGACAACCGCGTTAGCCGTGTTAACGGTTGACCGTTGGTGACATATCAATGTTTTTTTTTTTTTTTTTTTTTTTTTTTTCAATACATCACAATCTTCATATGTGTTTTTGATTATTAATAATGATAAGAATGTAGGCCCTAAAGTTTCATTCACATTTTAAGTAAAATATTTGACTTGAAATATAAATACATACCTGTTGTTTCAGTCCTTGTTGACAGATTACACAACAGATGTGGTTGCAACCGCTTCGTTTGGTGTGGAAACTACCGCTACCCTCACAGGAGAAGACCCTATCAGAACTGTGTCCAAGACCCTAATGACCTTCGACTGGTACAAAGGATTATGTTGGAGTACTGTATTTTTTTTTCCGAAATTGGCGGAATGGTTTAGGTAAAAAAAAATTTACTCTAACTATAACTATACATTACCATCCACGGTGGCTACGCATACAGGAACGCAACGCTCTTTTTACTCTATTCCCGGTATTCACTCGTCTTTCTATATTATTGTCATACTTTCCATCCGGAGTATACTCGTACATACTCCCGAAGTACACAAACTTATTTACTAGCAGAATAAGCCATGCCTTGTAAACTTTCTTCCCTTCCACTTCGTCCCATACCTCGCCTGTTTTCTCATCCATTCCTACACACACATTACAATAAGCTCTCCGCGTGCCACTTCTTGTCCCTACGTGAAACGTGACGTGACGGTTTTAAAATAAAATACAATTTATTTTATATCATTAATAAACGTTGTACCTAAAATAAAATTAAGCCTAGTTCCTAAAGTAAAATATAGTTGCATGGACTTATTTTAATCAACGTATTACAGTAATTACTTTGATTACATACTCGGTTGATATTACAGATAGATAAACATAAATTGGTACCTGTAGCAGTGTACCTTTAATGCTGGCAGCATTTCTATGTATAGTCTATTAAATATGCGAAAATTGTGCGAGGTATCAAATTCTTAGATGCGACCGGACGGATGGAAGAAAACAAGGTGACGTGTTTCTTGTGCGCGGGATCTGTAGTTGCGACGTGTGTAAGAACCGAATAATATTAACATCGATCGGTGTTCGTTTAAATTAGTTTGCGCGTCAGTTCACTTAAATGATAAATGTTTGTTTCTTATGTTGTGCGTGTATTTACTTTTTTATATGTTAATTTTCCGAATGGTTGAATGTTAAATATAAAAATGTATTACGAGTATTATTAACTTAAATTCAAGTAGTGTAAATGTAAAACAATATTTTGAATATTTCATGTCAAGTAAGTCGGGTATTTAATTGTGATGGGAGACAGCTGGATTTAGTTTTGTGCTCGTCGGGTATGAGTGACGGGTGTGTGTGCAGTTTGAAGCGGACGATTCATTGGTACCGATGGATTTATATCACCCACCGCTGTTCGTATAGGCACAACTCTCGTTAGACCGCATCGCGCTGTCCACAGCCCACAATAAAGCAAACCGTGAAAATAAAAGACGTTTGCCGACGTACATAATGACATACTGTTATCGAAGTTGGCCAGTATCGGATTCGCTCCTAAACTATTAATTTTTTTGCTAATTATATGAAAGATCGCCAGCAGTATGTAGAGTACAAGGAGTGTCAGTCGAAACCATTGTACACTAAATCAGGCGTGAGTCAAGGCAGCAATCTAGGGCCATTGCAGTTTGCAATAATGGTAAACGATTTACTAGAAGAGGATAAGCCATGCTTGGTGCCTTCTTTGTGCAGACGATCTGAAATAACTCCTGTCAATCCAAGAGGTGTGAACGCTTGCAAGGAGATATATACAAAGTATGTGAGGAGAGCAAAAAACATGAACTCCAATATTATATTGACAAATGTTCCATGGTGACATTTATTCGCGCTAAATTGCCTCGTCATCACGAGTATAACGTATCAGAGGTAATACTGAAGCGGGAAACGTCAGTAAGAGAGCTGCAAGTGCGAGTGAATGCTCATGTAAGTTTTCGAGATCATGAAGTGAACATTTGAAAGAAAGCAAATTGGCGTACTATGTACTGAAAGTCAAGCGGAGGGTTGTGTGTAACCAAAAGTATGCTCCCAGAACTCGGTTTCTTTGAACCTTTGGGATATGTGCGATGGCGAAGGTGGTGTGGCAATACTAAGGACCAGAACCAGTCTCTTGCACAGATCCCCGTTGTCAAAGAAGTTGCGCCTATTGCTGTCTCCGACACTGTCAACATATTTATATGTTCGCAGAGTGAATTAACAGTAAAGATATTGTGTGTATTTTATTTAATGCTCGACAATACCGTATTGGCATAGTCTGAAAAGAATATGTATGTATTTCTGTAAATAAATAAATACATAAAGCCTCTTGAATTTAATAAACAGGTTAATATTTTTTAGATTTCCCATATTTCCTGTATCATCGACACAGTTCTTTAAGAAAGTATTTGAAACTGTTTCAAAGCAAAGAAGAGACAATGGAATAAAGGACATAAAAGATTTACTTGACGCTTTACTTAAGCTTAAGGACGATGATATAGAAAATCAACAAGGTATGTATGTTTTACGGGATTTAAAATGCTTCTTAATTTCTTCCATTGTATGAATAAGCTCCACTCTGACCCGAACACAGATTATTCTATTGAGACTTGTCATGTACGTAAGAGATATTATAATGCATTAGTGTCTGCACAAGAATCTATTGTATGATTCTCATACAAATGGGCCAGATGTCAGATGCAGATGAAGACGGCAAGAAGACAGGACTTGACCTACCCAAAAACACGAAACGCGTTTCTTCTATTAATTTATTCGGTAAAATCATTTTTAAAAATGATGTTTGCAACAAGTGATACGTAAGCACTCTCTTTAGTTGCAATTGCTTATTTTCTCATTGAAATCATAACAATAAGATTATTCGTTACACAACTCTGGCACGATACATATAATTTGTATATTTTTACAGGGATCACTGATGCTGATATTTGGGCCCAGGCTGTGATATTTCTATTTGCAGGTTTTGAAACATCAAGTTCTGTTTTGACTTTCATGCTGTATGAATTAACATTCCGCCCAGACCTACAGGTAAATCTATTAACAATAATTACAAATTACCAAAATGTATTTACGTATTGCGTATGGTTTCAAAACGAATTTTTAGTTAAATTTGGTCTTACGTAAGCTGTAAATAAATATGTTATTTTTCCTTTTCGTTATTCTCAATAAGTGGTTTGTAAAAAAAAATTTACACCGCTAGTATAAGTTTTCACTTCATACTAGAAAAATAAAACAAATATAAAAACTTTATTACAGACTGTTATCATCAACAAATATTCGTAACATTTATTTTCAGGAGAAAATGTATGAAGAGCTAATAGAAGCGAAGAATAGTCAAAACGGTTCCTTGGACCTTACTATACAAGCTGAATTGAAGTATTTAAACGGTGTTTTTAAAGGTATTAAAAAACTGTTATAATTAAAGTCACAATTTTTTTAGGACTCTTCCATTATGTCAATTTCTGGGTCCATGTTGCCAGTTTTTGAAGTTGGAAATTCACCTTATATAATAATGACATCTGATTACCCAAATTCCAGAAGCGTTACGCATGTATCCTCCCATGGGTTGGCTTGACAGAGAGACATTACATGACTACAAGGTTGACGAGAACCTTACCATACCCGCGGGAACGCCGATTTATGTCAACGGAATTGGAATGCAGTACGACAGCGACATTTATCCGGACCCTGAGACCTTTAACCCCGAAAGGTTTTTTCCCGAGAATGAGAAAAACCTGAAGCCATTCACTTTTATGCCATTTGGAGAGGGGCCAAGAAGCTGTATAGGTCAGTTGTTCATAGAATAGGTTCTACTAAATGTATGTAATATTAATTTCCATTAATATAGTGTTGTATTTGTTTTTTATTAAGTACGAGCATAGATAAATAATCGAATCAAATCTTTATTGCAGCCAAGAGGTTCGGTCAGATATCAGTGAGAAACGCTATGTCATACTTAGTACTAAATTTCAAGTTTAAACCACTGCCGGGAGCACCGAAGCCTTCAGAAGTGAAATATGAAACTAGACATCTCTTTATGGTACCTGGAGAGAGACTTTTTATCGATTTTGAACCAAGAAATGTATCTTTCGGTTTATAAATACAACATGAACACATTTGTACGGCTTATTTAATATACATATTTCTGAGGACCGAATATGATTAACAATTACGAATTAATTATTTTTTTCATTAGTGGCAGACTCGCTGATCGCAACTTCTGTAAAGTACTCCGAACGTCAAGTGATGAAAATATGTGCGTAAACGAAATATATTTTTATGCAACAATAACATTTAATAATTGTTTTAAATATAAAGAAATTGACAAAGTAAACCGTAATTAAAACAAAATGGCCTATCGGATCCTGAACCCTGAGGACCTTCGATACCTGGATCGATAGTCATGTAATTTTCTATCTGTGTGCCGCGGATTTCTCACGCGAGCAATACGTATAATAAAATATAGAATGTCTATCGAGGTAGACTTATTTATTTGTACACTGGCTGATTTCAGAAAAGTTGCTTACTTATTTTTTATAAGATTTAGGTATATATATGTTACTGTAAAAGCTCGAACTACGGTTAATCTTAAGATTTAAGTGTAAGTCTTAGAATTTACCGACATGAGTTGGTAAATGTAAGTATTTCTGAAAATACGACGATTTTTTTGAGCTTTTACCATTCGAATTCAGTATAATATTCTAGGTTTTACCACTGTCAGCTGGTAGATGTTGGTTTAAGGAATAAAACAATGAGTAATTCTTAATTATTTACTTTAATGAACTATTAGACAAAACAGGTACATAGTATTATAAAGGTATCATATGATAGTAATAAGTACAAACTAATACCATAACGTATATCTCTGAATATTTCACCTACATAAGGTACCTAAAAAAAACATTTCACTTGTTACAACACGGATTGCTATTGTGGCATTTAGAATTACAAAGTAATTCTGATGATCTGCAGGTGCACTTTTTGTTTTTCAACATTTACCGTGCCATTAATGTAAATCCTAAGATTTACCAACGGAATGGTGGTAAGAGTTCGAATCGCAAACCTTTTGGGACATTTACCATTAGGAATTGGTAGATCTTAGGTTTTACTGGAATATCTTAGGATTTACTGCAGTTCGAGCTTTTACAGTAACATATATATTTTGTTTATGTTTTATTGTAGAATTATCGGTGAAGGTGTTATTGTGCCGTTCTATCGCATTAGTAGTAACTGTTGCGATGGAATAATTATTTGGAAATAAATAAATTAAATTAACGAATTATCGATTATTTCTAATATAAATAATATAAATTGCAATTCGTGCAAAATTATTTCCAAACCATTCCAAAATATCAAAAACGCATGACGTTAATATTCAAGTTTTCACTTCTGCCGGCACTCCCGGAGTGCAACCCGTCGTTTTTTTTTACACAACGTTTGTAAGGAGCTGCAACCATTACACCGTGTTCCACATGTCATCTTAAGTAATACATTACAATAAAATAAATTAAAAACAAAGATTTGTCCTCTATCAGCAGGAGGCATGGTGAAATAGGAACACGCACTTACATTTGCGTGAGAACAACACGCAAATACATAGCCGAAATAGCTAACATTACCGCATACACGAATTCAAGTACGACCAGTCACCACAAGTAGCACCCATTCACGAGTATGACGCATGGCCAGCCATCGGCCCCTTCGCCATGTTTTAGGGAGAGGCAACCCGAACTAGTATTTATCATTAGCGGCCGGAATCTCTTCATTAATGCTTTTCAAGGTCACAGTGATTATGACCGTAGAATGTAGATGTCGTTACTATTCCTCCGTACGGAAAGACCGGAGGTCGATCGAGTTGCTTGAAACAGGTGTGTTGGCGGCGTTATTTCTCAATTCCAAGTTGTCTAATGGTACGTTTACACGCTTGCCAGGCCTTGGCATACTGCAAACAGTCCCAAGCCTCCACAAATCTCGTTTGGCGTTTGAAAGGCGTTTATACGCTTGTGAATGCGTCAGTCTGCAATATTCATCCAAGCATGGCGGACACCGAACTTGTGACGGCTATTGCATTTGGTTTAACGTACTTTTATTTGAAATGTAAGCAAAGTGAAATAAAAAAAAGGAGAGCTTGAAAAAGAAAAAGTAGAAAAGAGTAGTCATCAATATCTCTTTTTTATTTTTTATTTCCTTTACTGGCCGTCCAGTAAGTTCAGCAAGACGAATCTATGCATCTGCTTGTTTCTTCTTATCTTTGTGCTTTGCATCTTTCGGATTCCAGATGCATGGTTCAACTTGGTAATGTTCCAGAAACGAAAGACTCTCCGCATTCGACCAGCAACTCATTTTTTATTTATTTTTTGTAAAATCAATCAAGCGTGTACTCGCCGCGAGATCACAATGGCTACTAAACGCGGACCAACATGTAAATGCATCGCAAGCGCTTGCCGCAAACGCCCTTTGATCTGCGTAAAAAAACCGACACTCGACTGGATCGGAAGCAAGCAGGCACAAGCCCACGCAAGCCAAGCCAAACGCCCTTTTTACATGCTTGCGATTGTCGATCCTTGCCAAGGCTTGGCAAGCGTGTAAACGTACCATAAGATTCCGATGTGTCTAACCGGGTCATGTCCGGTGAGTCGGAACTGTTTGCGATGATACTGAAGACGCTCCAGTGGGTCGGAGTGATACAGTGTGCTGCTAATGCTGTTAACTAAGCATACGCGCTTTGTGCTTGATGACTGGGTGTGAGTTGCTGCTGTTGATTGATCCTTGGTGACGTCTTGACGTAACACGTAATTATCGGTACACACTTTTCATCTCCGGTATTAACAAATTGAATCGCTAAATAAAATAGCTCAACCATCTTTTAGATTAGCCAAAGTTCAAACATCATTTATGGGGTACTGTGTTAAATGTTACAATAAAATACCTTGTGACATTTTAAAACTAAATGAACGAAAATTTAAATGTTTTATTAAAAATACACTTTATAAACAAGCATATTTCAAATTAGAGGATTATATTTAAGATAAGAATGATTGGCAACATGCTGGTCCTGCTCCATAGAACAATCATAGAGCCTGGACAAATTCAAATTGGTTGCTGATTTTTGCTTTCACATATTTTGTTACTTTTTTTCATTTTTAATACTACAAAATGTAATTATTTTATCTCACATACTGTTTTATTGTGTTTTTTTTATATTATTTTTATAACTCTTTAATTTATAATATTCTACGGTTTCGATATTTGTAAATATGTGGAACATGTATACTAACTTTTTTAGTATAGTAGTTTTATTCTAAGAGTACATTGTCTTCACATATAATTATTTAACTAATGTATACAAAATATTGTAAACCTCTTTTAAAAGAGTAAGTGTGGAGTTTCTTGCCCATTCTTCTCCACACGAAACTACCTTTTGGAAGGGGCAACTAGAGTGTTCTTTATATTTTACTAGTGGACCCCACAGACGTTGTCCTGCATGATATTTAAAGCGATTAGGATATTAAGCAAAGTATGAAAGTACCGACTGCAGTGCCATCTGCCGGGCTGATTTGTGAATCTAAACCATTCCCAGATCCCCTTGAACACACACAAAAAATTTCATCAAAATCGGTCCAGTCGTTTGAGAGAAGTTCAGTGACATACACACTCACAGAAGAATTATATATATAAAGATTTGACGTTCAAAGGTGCCATTTTAGGTGGTCTAATTGAAATAAATGATTTGACTTTGACCATCGATAATGTCTATATAATGACATAATTATGTCGAACATTAAATATCCGTTGGAATAACAGCGCAGACGGATCCTTAGACTCAAGTAAGTGGGATGTATTTATCGTGAACTAATAAAATTAGCAAAATGATAGCGATTTTCTCAAGTGTGATAGTTGCGTGTCTTATTACTTGGGTGTACTTTCGATGGGTGAACGTGAGTCAGTTTTGGAAGAGACGTGGGGTGCCACATCTCCCACTCCATCCAATTTTAGGAAGCCTCACCTTTTTGCAACGGAAAAATCCTGTAAGTATAACAAACTTGGTTTTGTCATAAAAATTACAGGGGTTGGTTGTAGAAAAAATTAAATAAATCAGTGGCGCTACAACCTCTTTAAGACTTGGCCTCAGATTTCTGAATCTGTTTCATGATCATTTTTTAAATCTAATAGGCAAGTAGCCGCCAGTGCCTGACACATGCCATCGACTTCTTGGGTCTAAGACATGTCGGTTTGCTCACGATGTTTTTCTTCACCGTTCGAGCAAATGTTAAATGCGCAGATAGAAAGAAAGTAAGAACCTACGTATGAAAGTCGCACGCTAAAGCCACTAGGCCAACACTGCTCTTCTCTTTGGTTAGTTGTAAAATGGTAAATATTAAAGGTTATATTTTATTAATTGCCGAATTATTAAAGAGTTTTCAAAAACAAAAAGGGATGTAACAACACCTTATCACTTATGGGTATAAACATCGGTCAAACCATTTCAAAGGAATTTGTGACGCATGAATTTTATATTTATGTATGAAGCGAATACTCGTATAATGGAACGAATTTTAAATTTGTAATTTTAATTCTTAATTTTAAATATTTTGAATCTGGAACACGTATATTATTTTAAAATTGTATATCGATTGTGGGCCATTTCACATATTTTTTCGTGTTAATTGTCAAATTACATTATGGAATGGGGTGTTAAAGATAATAAGATTGCACTGAGCCTTGCACAAAGTGGGTGTAGCCGTCGGTCATATTCCAGACACTTCAAAAGCTTGGTAGCAGCCGTATGTTCGTATATCGTACTATCAATAGATACAACAACACTTCGTCTGTTGAAGTACATAAAAACAAGGCGGCCGCTTGCTGTTGGTGTGTTGGTGTTTTGTTAAGTTTGTAAGTAGTCCGGTCAAATTAGACATACAATTAGTGGTCAAATAACAATAATTCCCGGAGAGCCAAATATTGGTGGAGAGCTGGGGTTTACCAAACAAGTAAAAACCCCATCGATCGTATGTGTGCTACAAGTTATTCGGGGTCTAAGGTCAACATTTGAGGTTTATTGATTTTTCCTCGAAAACGGTAACATTTATCAAAAATCGTTTTAAGCCAAAGATTGTTGTGAAGTTGTAGATCATAAAATTCTCTATAAAATGGTCGCCAAGATTTTTTCCTAAACCATTCCTGAGATACCGCGATTAGAGTCACATTAAATCATGATCACCTGTGAGGTACCGTACTCGGCGCATTTTTTTAGCGTGATTTCCCTGTACTTCATTGACATGACGAGTTTACGATAATTTAAGGAAATAATACCGAACCGGACTAAAGTTATCAAATATAACTTATAAACTTAACAAAGTATTGGTCCGATAAAACAATTAATCCCTCCTATATGCGCTATTTATACTAAACCGGTTATGTTGAATAATATTTATTAATTGTGAGAAGTCATTATTTTTAATAGCTTTCTATGTCTAGTATTAATGATGTTGTAATTGTTTGTAAACAAAAAGTTTTGCAAACATGTTAAACTAGTTTCTAGATGGTGTTGAAATTAAGGGGCCCAAATAATAATAAAATCTAAATTATATATCAAACAATTGATTCTCTTGCGTAGTTAAAGTATTATATAATAAAAGTATTAATAATGTTATTATCATTTTTTCTTCTATAAAGATTTTTCTTGAACGTATGTTCTCTTAGCTTATAAAATAATGTGAAATAACGTTAAACAACGCCAATCATAAGAAAATATTTGTATATTTGGTCTTAGAATGTTTATTTTGATAATATAGGCAACGTGGATGATAGAAATGTACCAAAAGTTCAACACGCCCTACGTTGGCATATGGCTGTTCTGGAGACCAGCTCTAATCATCAATTCACCGGAAATAGCAAAGAATGTACTTGTCAAGGATTTCGATTACTTCCGGGATAGGTTTCTGAGCTCAGGCAGATCTGATCCAGTCGGAGGACTTAACCTTTTCACCACAAACGTAAGTAACCACGTCTATAGCTCACTTAGTATCCCATGTTCGACTCCTGCAAAATATTAGCTCAATTTTCAGAGCACAGTCCTATTAAAAATTTAATTACAGATATACAGTTTAGTTAAGGATGCACTAAAGCTATATGTGAGTTATCTTTAATAATGTATAGTCTTCGTTCTGGATTCGGATAGCGAAATTCTCACATTCCTAAACTTCCTTACTTCTTATCTGCTTACTTACTTGCTTACTAGAAAAAACAAATGATAATTTATATTATACTGTATTATTATTATTACTTTATTATTAACTTCCTTAAATTAAAAGTGATCTTATCTCTTCTAGACAACGATAATAATGAAAAATACAATCGAGGTGTAAGAACTGCGTAACTATGTAAAAATAAATAAATAAAATATGTTTATTATGGAACTTAAGATACATGTATCACTTATTCCACGTCATTAAATTTGACAGAGGGTGCACTCATCGGCAAAGAAGACAGAGGGTGTAGGCCGAGAGAAGAAGCCGGCGTAAAAAAACTCTCGGTACTCTTTTGAAATAGCAAATCAACGTAACAAAAACATTATTAAAACAATGAGTCTTTGTGCGTGCAGACGGCGTTCATTAATTTATAAAGGTGCGTACAGACTATATAACAGAACATGTTATACAACATTGCTATACAACATGTTTCAGATAATGTGGACACTGAATGTTATAAAACATGTTATAATAACATGTTATTGATATGTATGCTAGGACGAACCCAGCATCTACGTTTTTTTGTTTTTCTTTTGTTATTTAAAATGGTTATATAACATTATTATATTGCATTGTTATTCTAACGTGTACAGTATTGTTTTATGTTATAATGTTGAATAACAAGGTTACATAATGTGGACGTGTTATAAAACACAAGTTATATAATATGTTACATAGTCTGTACGCACCCTAAGACGTTGTCAAGTCAAAATTTACGACTTCATTATCATGTTTATATAAAGTTGCATGAATCGAGATAATTTCAAGGTTAAGCGTGCGATATGGACAAGAAACGCATAAAGAGAGAGATTAAAAGGGATATAGTTTTGATAGAGATAGAGCCAGTTTCATAAGAAAAAATTGTTGAAACTTTGCTGTGAAATTTCATTGAAATAGCTATTAGAGGATCCATTTGTTCTATACAAATTCCAAATTTGAAAAGTCGAAAATACGACATAAAATAAATAATAATAATGGAAGACCTCATATGTTATCATCTAATTAAAAAAAATGTGTGCGTGTACTAGGTGTACACACGTGAGAAGTGAAACTTCTTTATGACCTTATTTTTCGAAAAATGATCTACTATATGCAACTTAACGAAATTGGTTAAATAAAGTTTAACAAAAGGCTGTTATTATCATAGACATGAATACAAATACAATTATTTCATTTTACCTTATTACTACTAAGATTATTACAGAGTTTCATTAATTGTAATAGAATTATTACTATCATTGTTATCGTTATTATATATTATAATTTATAATTAATAGTTACATAAAATATAATAGTTAATATAAAATATAATTTAGTTAAATAACTATTTCTTTAAATACAGTAAATTTTGATACACTGCCTAGCATTCAATTTACAAATTAATTGCTGCAAATTGCGATTAGCAAATTTCAAGTCGAAAATGTAATCCGTTGTCAAACTTCAAAGTCTAAAACATACTACACTTCTAGACACATCTATTGGCCCACCTTGCATTTTCAGTTTCTTTTGGTCCTACCTAAAAATTTATATTAGGTCGAGTAAAAAGTTTTTATGCAGTTTTGAACCTGGCACATTCATAATTGCATTCAATATTTTTTTTTTAATTTCGAACACAGAATTTAAAGAAACAAAAGACAATTTGGAGCCTGCTCATTGATATCAAACAATCGAATACTAAGAAAACTTGATTTTATTGGTTTAGTTGGATTTAATTCTTGAAAGTGTGATTTTTCTCTTTGGTTTTGCAACAAACATTACTTATTCTTAACATTAAGATGAGGTTCTATCAATAATCTATGGATACTTCGCCTGAAGTCGCCGCCCAAGCTGTGGCACTTATCCGGGCCGGACACAGCCAAAGAAATGTGAGTGATCAACTTAATTAAACTTTTATCGGAGATACCTAGAGCCTGGCGGCTTTGTTCGTGGCCAAGGAAGGCCACGATTTCGGGTCACAACTGAAAGGCAGGATCGATTCATCGTGACGACCAGCCTGAGAAATCATCACCTTACCTCCATTGAGATACAAAACCAACTTCGCGACTTCCATGGAGTAAATGTGAGCGCTCGAACTGTTCGGAGAAGATTAAAAGAACGCGATATGGTACCACACAAGCCAGCTAATGGCCCAAAACTAACGCGAGCCCACCGAATAGCGCGCCTTCATTTCGCGCGCTCACACTTAAATTGGACTCAGCAGCATTGGAACGGTGTACTCTTTTCTGATGAGTCTAAAATTGCGTTACATGGCAGTGATGGAAGGAAGAAGGTCTACCGACGTAAGGGAGAGCGTTTTGCACAATGCTGCTTTGAAGAGAGGGTTGCTTATGGCGGTGGCTCATGGACTGTCTGGGGCGGTATATCTGCGAGCGGCAAAACTCAACTTGAAGTTGTTACGGGACCACGGCTGCCAACATTAAATGCTGAAAGGTACATTCTTGAGTGCTTAGAACCTCACGTGATGCCATACGCGGACTATGTGGGTCCAAATTTCCTTTTTATGCATGATAATGCAACAGCCCATACGGCCGGCATCGTCAGAGAATATCTTTGGGATGTGAACATCGCAGTTATGGACTGGCCAGCCAGAAGCCCATATATGAACCCCATTGAGCACATGTGTGACGAGCTAAAAAGACGTGTTAGGGCTCGTCAGCCAGTTGCCCAGACGATGCAGGAATTGAAAACTGCCATAGAAGAGGAATGGGAGATGATCCTCAAAATTTCATAGAGCGGTTGATAAACTCTATGCCTAATCGTATCAGAGCTGTCGTAAATGCCCATGGAGGCAACACGCGTTATTAAATTAAACCTTTATTTGATAAAACACGTTTTTTATTCAAAAATCAACTGACTTCATCAAGGCGCATACCCGACTTGTTAGGCTTATCTCCATGTGGTGTGGTATTCTAAATTCAAATTTAAAACAATACGATCGAAAAAGATGGTAAAATGTATAAGATTCAAAACTGCATAAAAACCTTTTACTCGACCTAATATAAATTTTTAGGTAGGACCAAAAGAAACAGAAAATTCAAGGTGGGCCAATAGATGTGTCCAGAAGTATATATGTCATATTTTAACGCCGATAAAGAAGTTTGACGATACACGGATTCCGTCGTTGCGGGTATAAGTGTTTACACGTGTTTCGGATATCATTATTTAGTATTTTCTATTTTTTCTCGTAGTTTAATGAATATAAGTTGACTTATCCTATTGGTGGTGGTTAATTTATAACATCAACTAATTACGTAAGTTATTTTTATTTATTTGTTATATTTCTCCCTTTACCTTGTTATATTTTTGTTAGTCTATAATGGAGAAACGCCCTCCAGACCCCCCTGATCCTCCGGATAGGGTCTCTTCTCCGGTGGAATCAATGGATTTATCCACCCCACTGTTGCCCCAACCTGGTGTCAAGCGCAGACTTGATACTGTCAATGAATCTTTAGTGGAACCTTCCAAAAAACCAATGACTGATGTCCGGTCATCTGTTGATGACGTCAACCCAGGATTTTACTCTCATCCATCTCTCACTGGCTCTCCCAAGTCATACCTTGTCAATGACAAGGGCCCTTTTTTAGACCATGTTTCTTGCCCTGAATCTGACCCATCCGCCGGTACATCAATCCGTCCAATTAAATTTGGTCACTTCTTGGTAAAAAATAAAGTAAGTAACATTGTTCGTGATGGTGTTAAAAGAGTGGGACGTAACAGAATATCTGTTGAGTTTAAGTCGGGTTTAGATGCTAATAATTTTGTGTCTAATCCCATTATACCTTCCAGCAATTATTCTGTTACGATTCCTAATTACAATGTTTCCCGTATGGGTCTTGTGAGAGGTGTCCCAGCTGATTGGTCGATGCAAGAATTTGTCGAAACCCTGGAAATTCCTGAAGGTATTGGTATAGTCCTCAAGGCCAGACGCCTAAACCGCAAGACAAACTCCGATGGTCAAATTAATTGGATTCCAACACAAACTGTTGTTTTAACCTTTCAGGGACAAACCCTTCCGGAGAGAATATTCTCCTGTCATAGTTCCCTCCGCGTTGAAACGTACCAACTCCCAACAATTCAATGTCTCAACTGTTGTAGATTTGGTCACGTAAAGTCACAATGCCGTTCTAAGCCTAGGTGTTTTCGTTGTACTTTAGCCCATCCTGGTGATGATTGTAATATCCCTGAAATAGAGTCATTATGTTTATTTTGTACTGCCTCGCACTATGCGACCAACAAAGCTTGTCCTGAGCATAATCGACAAAAAAACATAAAGAGTTGTATGTCTCAGGAGAGCATTTCTTATCTCGAAGCATCGGCTCGGTTCAGACCTATCAGTGGCAAAACTTTCGCAGACTCTGTTAAAACAACGCCCTCCCCTTCATTCAATGTATCCCAGCCCATTATTATACCTTCCCAAGTTTCCCGTCAGACAACATCATACAGGAAAACGGTATTTCTCCCTCCTCGCTCTAGGCCAACATCAGGAAAATCCTTTGATAAGGCGGCCCATGAGGCCATTACTTCCAATTTTCCCTCCTCTTTACCCAATGGTTGTGCCGTAAGCTCCCCAACCCTTATCAACAATGAAGTCTCCCCAAATGAAAATCTTCTTGACTGCTTATGGGCAGTCATTTGTAACATGCTATCTAAATATGATGACATCCCCATACCGTCCCACGTTGCCCAAAAAATTAATTTGCTCCACTCATTCGTCACCAAAAATGGCGAATCTAGTAATCCAGTGGAATTGTAACAGTATTCGCAGTAAAAAATCCGAATTAACCTTTCTCATCAATAAATTCGCT